GACCCAGCCAGAGATCCTGTAGTGAACAGGAACTTTTGCGGTCCCTCAGTCAGCAGTATCATGGCTATAGGGTATCTTTTGGCAATCAGTAACAGGCCTTTATTTAGACCTGTCCCTCAGAGCAGCTGACAAGACAGACTGCCTATATGATTAGTTCCACTCTACTGTTGGGCAGGGCCAGTTCTAGTTTTTTGGGGGCCCCAAGCAAGATTTAGTTGGCTGCCCCCCACCTCACAGCAAAACAGTAGAGAGAAACATTTACATTTAAGTTCATTTCCTGCAATTCTACACATTGCCATGGGGCGGAGAGAAAATGTATTTATGCCATGTTAATATTTGCGTGAGAATTACTAACAAAATCTATGGGGACCCCCGGAGGTCAGGGCCTCTGGGCACAGTATTCGGCCATGATTACTATAAGTTTAGATGGCAAAATTGCACCTGGTATATTCTACTTATCTTACTCAATAGTAATTTGAGACCCCGACTGAGTTCCTAAAGAACCACTGGTCACTTATGCCTTGAAGCAGCCCTGCTGTTGGGTTCCTGTTCAGTCACTCCTGAGGTGCCTCTTTAAAACAGTGGTGCCAATCAAATTAAACTGTTTCCATAAATGTATTAAACAGACAACGCAACTCTGTTGCTGGAGTAATGATTCCAGTAGTTAGATGTACACTACAGTAGCTCAGAGGATTGGATTAGACACCTGCAGGTCAAGGGCTACTCACTCTCTGGTCAGAAATAAGCTATAGGTCTACACAGACAAGGTAGCTCAATGAAGACAACTCAATAAATATATAATAAAGTGACATTTAGCAGGCGCTTTTATTTTAGCGACTTAGTCATGCATGCATACATTTCTAAATCTGGTTGGCCACAACCCTGGCGGTGCAAGTTTCACACCCTAGCCGAGAGTGGCTGTGACTAACATGGCTCACCTACCAGACTACACCGGTTCCTGTTTAATGAGGGGGAACAACTCAACCAGGACAAGACAGGTTCGTGACAGGCAACCTGTTGGATTGGGTCATGAGCAAGACAATGGACCAGGCAACACTTTAATCAAAAATATACCATTTTATTAAAATGGTTTTAAATGTTGTAACTGAAACTAACTGGCCATTATAAATAACAGGCAATGATACATACCCGGATGGTGGCTTGCACACTACTCAGAATACCTAGGACTACAATCACATTACCATCACTTTAAGAGCAATAAGTTATATGCGATTATTAATAGTTACAAATACCTAACAAAGCCACCATCACCGCGGCACTCGCCCCAATAACAACATTAAAAGCCAACAACCCTGAATGCTGGGCGAATTGTTTAGAACGGACACCCCTATGAGCTAGCTCCAACCAGAGCTCCGCAGTTCAAACCTTTGTAGTTTGGACCGGCAAATTGCATCCCCTGCGCCTGCTCCACTGCACTAACAGGTGCTCCACCCCAAAAACAGATGCACCACAGGTTTTAAAGGAGACAAAGAGCATGAACTGCAATGAAAGAGAGAGCATAGTTAGGGGACGCTCCAATCACTGGAGGAGGGTGGTTAAAAAAGTTCATACAATTAAGCACAGCAAATCTCCAAGTCACAGCACACATGCAATCAATTAAGGGCAATCAGCAATCAATTAAGCTCAATTATTTGTGAGAGCATGCAAAGATCAGTGAAAATTCAATTCATGGAAGAGCTAAAGTCCACCCTATAACACAAGCGCCATGCTCTACCAACTGAGCAATACAGGACCAAAGATCGGTTGATGGTTTGTGGATGATGTTTAGCAACATGTCTTGTCATAGGGCGAGAGCGTTCATTTTATTTCAGTGCGCTGCTGGGACTGAGCCTACACCCCAGCATGTGACTTGGCCTGGGAGCACACTGGCGGGGAAAACATCCATGTGAAACATGTCATCTGTCCACTCCTAAGTGCTACGATTTCCCCATTAGAAGAGCAGGGATACTGATGGCTTTTTCAGATGGGTCCCGCTGCTGCTTTCAACTGAAGTCATCTCTCTCCCTCTCTTTCCCTCCCTATTGCTCATTTTCTCTCTCTTCTCTGCCTCCCCCTCTTTCCTTCCTGTCTAGGAATCGATTCCAAGGTGCCAAACTGATGTCTTCCAATCGGATCGCTGGAAACCGATATCTAGATAAACTAGATATCCTCCTCCCACTTTGATCAGCCAATGAACTAGGTGTACAGCCAGATCATGTGATATGGTGATAATGACTGTATGGAATTGTCATTGACAGTTAAACAATAAGATAATTACATTACATACAAGGGGAAGTGGATACTTCACTAAACAGCTACAGTGGTAGTTTTACTTCAGCAAGTGACATCTTTCTCTCACACCTTGATGAATGTTTCTATTATGTCTAAAAGGCTACCATACACCGTCGCTGTCACTCTCACTTCTCTAACCCAAGCCACGGGGAATTTGACATCTCAGATCCAAAACGATGACGGATGCCATATAAAACTATATTGCGTCAAGCAATGATGCTTATAGTGATTCTGATGATGATATTAAAAACATACTGCACAATAACATGGATAAAATCATATTTTTGACCGACAGGCCCGATTCGGTCTTATGCAGCAAAATTTGAAATTGTGTTTTTTACATTGGATAAAAGTAGAGACTTAGAGCTAGAAAATTGTATATCATACACTACGGTTGAGGAACAAAGGGAAAGTAATTCTGCTTTGAAAGTTGATAAACTTGTAACCCGACTTTTGAGAAAATGGTCCTTGAATGTTTTGGTACACGTACTGCAGAGCTCTTCTTTGTCTACACCCATTCAGCATTGTTCACACCCTCTTAAGCCTTAGCCCCACCATCTCTTTAAGGATTCACATGCATGACATCAGCAGCCTGGTGGTCCAAAATAGCATAACTGGTGTATTTTAACACCAATAAACCCATCCGTTTAAAAATGAATGTAATATATGTCAATGTAGCAAACCAGGCAACTAAAAACAACTTTCTAAGCTATAGTCCCGTGTAGCTCAGTTGGTAGACCATGGCGTTTGCAACGCCAGGGTTGTGGGTTCGATTCCCACGGGGGGCCAGTATGAAAAAAATTAAAATGTATGCACTGGATAAGAGCGTCTGCTAAATGACAAAAAATGTAAACAATGTTTTGGATCGTTTCTAGCTTGTTAGCTAGCTAGCTAGCTAACATTAAGTTAGTTGGCTAGCCAGTTCAAATAATGACCACATCATACTTATTTCCCTCATTAAAATGCAAATCAATTTATAACATTTTTGACATGTGTTTTTCTGGATTTTTTTGTTGTTATTCTGTCTCCCACTGTTCAAATAAACCTACCATTAAAATTATAGACTGATCATGTCTTTGTCAGTGGGCAAACGTACAAAATAAGCAGGGGATCAAATACTTTTTTCCCTCACTGTACATGGATGAACGCTTCTTCCTCTCTGTCACGGTTTCCATGCTTGCCCTTAGTTTGAAGATGTAATCTGGAGACAGGTGTTTTATACAACAGCCTTCTGTGTGTTCTCTTTTCGACTCCCTCCGCATATTTGTAATCAAAAGACAGAATTTTCTTCATCTCCTTAGCTATCATACTCTGCTTCCACCGGGCATTCCACTGATTTCAAAACTCTGTCCTCCAGAAAGTGGAGTGCAACTCTTTTGCAGTTATTCGTGATATCTTTCAAAAAAGCTGCGTTAGAAAGGATTACCTACACATACTGAGCAGCCCTTTGTTATAGACAGAAGCGTGCTACATGGCAGACCAATCCAAACTCATCTCTCGGCATCTTCAGCCCATCCATTATCTCAGCCAATCATGGCTAGCGGGAATGTTCCTGTCTTTTTCCGTTTTTTAAACCAACTAGGCTCGTAATTTAACAATTTTATTCGTATTTACAGATGGTATACAAGTTTGTTATTAAGGCACATGAAAGTTCACATGTTCCAGAAGGCATTTCTGCCAAAAAACGCATTTTGATAAAAAATACATGTTTATGTTCAAATGCCTCTCCTGTGAAGTAGTGATGCAAGACATACACCTAGTTTCCTGAAATGAATCACATTTTATGGTCCTCTTATGCCTTGTGTCCATACTATTAAACTGTGGTTTCAACAATCACAATAGCTTCCAAAAGTTGTGATTCATAGTAGTAGAGAATAGGAAAATGGCAATTGGTCCCCTGATGTTGTGAAGCTTGTCAATATTTCCTTGAGTTGACATTTAAAAGGTGGCAGCACTGAAGATCTTTAAAGAGAGCTTTGCTGGTAGGGAAGCAAAGTCCCCTGCTTTAAAATGGAGAATAAAAAAATTCACGGTTTTAATGTTTTTCTGCAGAGTAGCCTCTCCCAGTAAAGCTCCAGAGCTTTACAATATGCAGACTGGAGAGAGGAGGGACCCCCTGTTGCTCCAGCTGATGGAAGAGAAAGAACGAGAAAATAAACAAGAAAAACAAGGCTTCTGAGAGAACTGCCTTCTCTCAGGCTCTCTCTTTAACTCTTTCCGTCTACCTCTCTGTCTCAATTTGACTAAACAGTAACATTATGAGGTTGATATTGGGTTTGTTTAAATGTTATGAATTCGAACTGATATAGGTGTTATGTAGCATAATGTTTATCCATATAACTAGAGATTCCTTGTTCACCCACCCTATTCAATAAGTAGGTCATGTTTTGTGCAATAAAATATCAACAACCATTTTCTAGAGTATTTTCTCTTTTATTGCAAATACAATACAAAAGTTAAGCTTCTTTTTAAGACAGTACAGTAACATGTTAAGCTAGCTGAAGAAAATGACAATTTGTTCAGATGCATCAGAAAGAAACATCAGTACTGAAATAGTACTGTATGTGTCAGGATGTAAAGAAACAAAAACAAAAACATGTCCTTAGAGAAGACAGGGATGCTGGTACCTCTAATAACACAAACATATTAGCCACAGCGTAAACATAACTAATTGTAAAACTTTGTCATTATGATCAAAACGTATTTCCAGTTTAGAATCCAAACTTCACAATTAACAATAATTCGTACACAACTAGATAGCAAAAAATGACAAATTAAACATTTAAAATAGAAACATTTACATACGATAAATAAAGCATGATGATTACAGTTTGTATCATTTTTAAAGTACCCCCCTCGGCTAAAAAGACCGGTTTATATGACATTTAATATCCAGAAGGTAACTTTTTTTGAAGACAAATTAATTAGTTGTATAAAATATAAAATAAAGAATAAAATGCTAAATAATAATTACTTTGAAAATAAAATAAAGCTAATAAATAAATTAAAGGGTTAAGACTGAGGGGTTGGGAGGGGATGAGAGGTGGATCAGGCAGGGGGCTGTAAAACGACACTGGCGTGATGGTGGACTGCAGGGGGCGCCCGAGAGGTCAAAGGGCACTTCCTGTGGCTGTCAAACACATGCTGTCAGATGGTAAGTATATTCTCAGCTGTGGCTTCTCTCTTCTATAGTATGTGCTGTAGCACACACACTCTGACACACACACACATCCTATCACCCAACCTCTGATATGCTAGGCACTAATGGTGCAAAAGGCTGGAATCTCCTGCACAAAACCATAATGTCCAAACTTCTTCCCTTGCCATTCACAGCATGCCTCTCTTTCATCGAAGAATGTGCTATAATCATAATAAATCATTGATGGAGAAACCCTAAACTGCACAAATACAAATGTAATTTATTTTGTTGGATGGCACAGCACATATAAGCACAATGCACTGCAGGAAGACAAAGAAAAACCAACACAACCAAAAAAGGATAGAGATTGACTGCCTGTAAAAAATTCCTCCAGAGAATTGAGGCCATAGAATAGATAACTGCACTACTGTGGTTTACTGCTGAACTGGATAAAAATAAAGCTTTTTCTCTGCAAATACGTGTTTAAAATCCCCAGAATAGCAAACTGCCAGAGTAAAAAAGGTAAGAAAACATACACAGTACCTACTAAAAATATCAACAATTTAATCAGTCCTCACAGAGGATTTCTCAATGCTCAAAATATGTTTAATCAATACACAAAAAAAGGCACGTTGTGAGCCATTCTGATCTAATTTCAGTTCTCTCAATTCCAGCTTTCCTCCTTCTTCTTCGTCGTCTTCTTCCTCTGTTGTAAATTCAAGTGTCTGTTTGCTGGGAGCTAGATGTTGGAATGTTGTGACAAAGTCTCGCTCTGCAAGATGGGCATGTCTATCAGTCTATGTAAGTCTGTGTGTAGATGACTGTGTCCTCAGGGCCGGGAGAGCTGTGTGTACACTGGCTGCTGGTCCCAGTGATGCTGGGGACTGTGGGTCTGTGGCACAGAGGGCACCCCGGTTGTGTCTGCGATGGGGGTGTACATGGGCCTCTGGCTGGGGCTCATGTAGCTGCTGAAGGAGTAGAGCCCTGAGCCCTGGCCCCCGGCTGCGTGGCTGTAGTAGGAGTTGGTGCCACCCTGGTGGTCAGAAAAGTCATACTGGGCACGGGTGATGGAGGGGTAGGAGGAAGAGCTGTAGTGTTGCAGGTTGAAGGAGCCATAGGTGACGTGCTGTGGAGGGGAGGAGTTCTGCTGATCGTTGTAGTGGCTGGGGCTCAGCTGCTCTGTCTTGATGTGTGTGGTGGTCCTCTGGTTCTGACCCTGCTCCCCTCCACTACCCAGCGTGGTCAGGGAGTGCTGCTGCTGACTCTGGCTCTTGGTCATCCAGCTGTGCCCTGCGGTGCCCCCTGCTGCCTGGCTGACTGCGGAGCTGCTGATGCCATAGGTACCGTTGTAGGAGACCTGGCCAGCAGCAGTGCCAGGAGCGCCTGGGTGACCATTGGGGGGCAGGTACTGGTCGAACTCGTTGACATCGAAGGTATCGATGTGGGAGATGACGTCGCTGCTCAGCTCGCCGATATCCACATCCCGGAAGTCGATGTTGAGCTGGCGGCCCGTGCCTTCCTGTAAGGGGCGACCCTCGCGCTTCAGGTCCACCTTTCCCACCTGGATGTCGGTCTTAGGAGTGGTGGGAGGGGTGGGGGGCCCTTGGGACTGGCCTGAGAGAGAGAGGGTGGGTTACATATAGAATACATATTTCTGTAATGCAAATCTCAGAGCAAGAGCAGACCCATTGATTTAATTTAAAAGTAAAAATAAGAGCTTTACAAGTGGTAAAGCATGAGTGAAATAAGAAATTAGTCTAGACATCAAGTTAAACTAACAGAGAAGATGTCTGATAGTATCAGTCATCAGCTGTTCAAAAAATCTATTTCATACAGGTTTATTCTTATAAAAAGTCTAGCAGCATTAAACGTGTCAAATACTTTATATACATTGATGAACACATGCTGAATCAGACCAATGCAATAGGCACTACACATTTTCTCTCTTCTTACCTGAGTGTTCTCCGGGGGAGTGCACTTCTCCTATGCTAGAGGCTGGAGAGTCAGCTTGTTGGAGCGCCTTGAAGATCGCTCCTGGCGATATGTGCGTCTGCTCGCTGCCGTCCTCAGACTCGCTTTGTCCGTTCTTCATGGACTTCCTCCGCCGGGGCTGGTACTTGTAGTCGGGGTGGTCTTTCTTGTGCTGTACCCTCAAGCGTTCTGCCTCCTCCACGAACGGACGCTTCTCTCCCTCATTGAGTAGCCTGTGCGTAAAAGGCAAATGGATACATGAGTAAATCAAATATTCAATTGACAACCAAATAGTTTACTACAAAGGTTAAATGATGTTTACTACAAAGGTTAAATGATGCAAGATCACAGTATCGAGTAAAATGCATGAGTAAAAGTAGAATTGAGTAGCCTATGAAATAAAACTCGTTTCAGTAATAAGACCACAAACGCGCTGCCACTCGAAATAAACATTTAGAAGTCATGACAGAGAGGAGTGAGACTCACCTCCATAGTTTCCCCAGAGTTTTGCTCAGCTCCGCGTTATGCAGATGAGGATACTGATCAGCCAGCTTTCTCCGAGCGGCTTGCGCCCAAACCATAAAAGCGTTCATCGGTCTCTTGACGTGGGGCTTGTTCTTACTAGATCCGTTCACTCGGACTGGCATTGGCACCAGGGTCCAGTCGTAGCCCTTCAGTACCTGGGACACCGCGTCGCGGATGCACACGGGGAACTTGTCATCGTCGTCCTTCTTGAACTCGACGAGGGGGCCGTCCGGACCCATCAGCAGACCGTTCTCTGAAGGTCTGGTGTTCTCGGTGTCTGAGCCAGAGCCGGAAGGGCACGGGGATCCCGCAGAGTCCTCGGACATGCTCGGGCTCGGTGCGTCAGAGAGACATTTGTCTTGTTCGTCTGTCATTTTCAGGAAGGGGTCGAGTAGATTCATACGAAAAATGTTGTCGAACAATTACGCACAAAATATGAAAGTACGGCTCTTGAGGGTGAGATCCCTAGAGATGCTTTACACACGAGGAAAATCTTGACCAAAGTATTTAAAATGTCCAAAAGTGGATAAAAAGTAACAGTAGACGCTATTTGCTCCTGCAAAGAGGCAGTCAACTGCACAAAGCCTTTTGGAGAGAGAATGTCTTTATGCATATGCCTTTCTAAAATATTGTATAATAACCTAGTCTTGTTTGCAGGCGTCTCCACACTCGAGCAACAGCTGATGATTTTCTGTAACTTTTTTCAGGTAAAAAGAGAAAGTGCTCTAGTCTGTCTCCAAATAGTATCTCCAAAACGTGTGCGTACTTTGAACTGAAGTCCTTTGCAAGCGGACTTTATAAGTGAGTTACCGTGCAGCTACAGAATACCCGAGAATACCCGAATGTGATTGGTCGACAGAGCATAACGAACTGAAGGAATTTGATCCCTTCGGCCCCCCTCCCCTACACACACAGCATATGCATAGACATTTTTACATTTGGTGTACAATATTGATGTAGGTATAATAATTCACTTACTGAAATTGATTTAGGTTTACAAAGATATGTTTTTATATTCTTAAATCATAGACTATTTGAGAGTTTTACTCACACCTTCAAAGTTAAACCAGTGAAAACTGAAAAAAAGCAAATACCTGACGACAAAAAAACATTGAGGATGAAATAGCCTAATGGTAATAGGCCTACCAATAATGTTTTAATTATGAATGCATTTGTCTGCATGCGAAATCCCATATCGAAAGTCATACTTTCATACAATGAAGGAGGGTCTGTAGTGAACATGCCCTACGGCTATTATGTGCGACAAACAAAGGCCACTTCAGATAAATTACAAAGATATAAAATACAATTTATTCGATCCATACCAAACCAATTATTATTTTACTGGTTCAAAATTGCCATACAGTCTTTACCGTTTGGTTTGAAGAGAGGGATAGAGGGCAAAATTAAATGTTGGTCACTTGCATGCCATGATAACATATGCCCATAGGGGGAGACAGCAGCCCAGGAACTTACATTACAACGTGTGCCTTTTTCTGGAGGACATCTGGAACCCAAGAAATGGTTGAAACAATTGCACTGCCGCAACCGTTGAGGATGATTATATTTTTCTAATGACAGCGCTGGAGATAAAAGCAGTGGTCAAAATTATCATATAAAATCGAATAAGTAGCCTATTTCCTCACCCAAGCTCACCATACACTTTTCCATAGATAAATCATATTTATATCTCCCTTAAAACACATACATATTTATGTCTCACCTAGAGATCTCCATGATAAAGTCGGTGTACAGTGGGAGTGGCTTGGTCATTCACAGTCCCTTGTGAACGAACCCATGTCGTTTGGTTGTTTATTTGGATTTGTAAAGTTGTGGAAATTTGATTTTGGTTGTAAAGTGTGTGTGCAACATGTGTTTTATTTCTCTCTCCCTCTCTCATTTTCTATGCCTATAGCGGGTTGCTTAAGTGGAAGGGGGACTCTGGATGTTGTAAAATTGTTTGTTTGCATTATGTCAGCCTGCCGAAACGTAGAATCAGTCAGTAATCCTATCTGCTCCTCAGCGCAATTAGTGCTCTGGTTCCAGATACAGAAACTCCCATGGTGTCTCCACTCTTGTGCAGATATTTATTTACATGGAGCCTGTTTATTTAAGATATTCACTTTTAACATAAACAGAAGAGAGCATTTTAGACTTTTGTTAATAACTCCTGCGCACGTGCCACTAAAACATGTCTTGTTTGTTTATAGTCCTAAAAGGAATAAAGGCATCACTGAATACATTCACCAACAGGGCTCCCCTGAAACCACAAGATATTGCCTTTCAACTCCAATGATGATGATGAGGAAGATGAGGACTTACAATGTTGTTATAACGTTTCAAGTCCAGGGGAGGAATGCACTCGACAACATTCTGTCAGGTGAAGTCAGGTGTTTTATAACAATCAGCAAGCTAGTCCCTTCTTCTACCCCTGAATATCTTAAACCAGCTGTCATAAATACCAGTTGGTCAGCACCCCTACCTGGATTGGGTCATTCCAATTCACTTCTACAGAGAGGTGACATTATATTTTTAAAATACATCAGAGTATTTAACTAATAATCAATGAAATGACATTCATAAATTCACCACAAAACGTGCATACAATCTCTCATCTCAAAATAATACGCTCATATGTTAATATTTAAAATAACAAACAGGGAGAAACTAAGCCCAGGAAGTGCACCACAAACTTACAGGAAACAATGAGCTTGCAAGTAACATTTCTAAAGTGAGTAGTATTTACTTTTAAAAGTAGAAAAATGCATAATAACTAGCGAGCCATGTAATGCAAACTAAGTAGGCTCCTGAATAAAGTTTTATAAACCGAATGGTTGTCTGCAGGGATGGACATTTAACTAGCCTGCTAGCTCGAGGCTAGTAGTTTTCAGACCAGGCTAGTAGAAAATATGCAAACCTAGCCCGCCAGGCCAGTGAAATTTGGTATTTTCATATTTAATGGCACAGATTGAAGTTCTAAAAGTTCCCTCCCTGTTTGTCTTAGAGTAATTATTAAGATGAAAATACGTATTTTCAACGTCTGTAAAAAACATATTATCAAAGTCCGAAGAATACGTATTTTCGAAGTCCAAATATATGTACAGTCGTGGTCAAAAGTTTTGAGAATGACACAAGTATTGGTCTTCACGAAGTTCGCTGCTTCAGTGTTATGAAATATTTTTGTCAGATGTTACTATGGTATACTGAAGTATAATTACAAGCATTCCATAAGTGTTAATGGCTTTTATTGACAATTGCATTAAGTTTATGCAAAGAGTCAATATTTGCAGCGCTGACCCTTCTTTTTCAAGACCTCTGCAATCCTCCCTGGCATGCTGTCAATTAACTTCTGGGCTACATCCTGACTGATGGCAGCCCATTCTTGCATAATCAATGCTTGGAGTTTGTCAGAATTTGTGGGTTTTTGTTTGTCCACCTGCCTCTTGAGGATCGACCACAAGTTCTCAATGGGATTAAGGTCTGGGGAGTTTCCTGGCCATGGACCCAAAATGTCGATGTTTTGTTCCCCGAGCCACTTAGTTATCACTTTTGCCTTATGGCAATGTGCTCCATCATGCTGGAAAAGGCATTGGTCGTCACCAAACTGTTCGTGGATGGTTGGGAGAAGTTGCTCTCGGAGGATGTGTTGGTACCATTCTTTATTCATGGTTGTGTTCTTAGGCAAAATTGTGAGTGAGCCCACTCCCTTGGTTGAGAAGCAACCCCACACATGAATGGTCTCAGGATGCTTTACTGTTGGCATGACACAGGACTGATGGTAGCGCTCACCTTGTCTTCTCCGGACAAGGTGTTTTCCGGATGCCCCAAACAATCGCAAAGGGGATTCATCAGAGAAAATGACTTTGCAGAATATCAGTCTGTCCCTGATGTTTTTCCTGGAGAGAAGTGGCTTCTTTGCTGCCATTCTTGACACCAGGCCATCCTCCAAAAGTCTTCGCCTCACTGTGCGTGCAGATGCACTCACACCTGCCTGCTGCCATTCCTGAGAAAGCTCTGCACTGGTGGTGCCCCGATCCCACAGCTGAATCAACTTTAGGATACGGTTCTGATGAATCAACTTTAGGATACGGTTCTGACGCTTGCTAGACTTTCTTGGGCGCCCTGACGCCTTCTTCACAACAATTGAACCTCTCTCCTTGAAGTTCTTGATGATCCGATAAATGGTTGATTTAGGTGCAATCTTACTAGCAGCAATATCCTTGCCTGTTTAGCCCTTTTTGTGCAAAGCAATGATGACTGCACGTGTTTCCTTGCAGGTAACCATGGTTAACAGAGGAAGAACAATGACTTCAAGCACCACCCTCCTTTTAAAGCTTCCAGTCTGTTATTCTAACTCAATCAGCATGACAGAGTGATCTCCAGCCTTGTCCTTGTCAACACTCTCACCTGTGTTAACGAGAGAATCACTGACATGATGGCAGCTGGTCCTTTTGTGGCAGGGCTGAAATGCAGTGGAAATGTTTTTTGGGGATTAAGTTCATTTTCATGGCAAAGAGGGACTTTGCAATTAATTGCAATTCATCTAATCACTCTTCATGACATTCTGGAGTATATACAAATTGCCATCATCAAAACTGAGGCAGCAGACTTTGTGAAAATTAGTATTTGTGTCATTCTCAAAACTTTTGATCACAACCCTATTTTCAACATCCAGAAAAATACATATTTTCAACGTCCAGAAGATATATATTTTCAACATCAGGAAGAGACATCTTTTCAACTTGAATTAATAACCAAAAATCAACCTGATTTCAATGTCTGGAAAATACATATTTTAGACATCTTTTCAATGTCATTTTGCTCACTGGGAAGGTGAATGGAGTTGCACATATCTCTAACCACAGCGACTGATATAGACCTAATTAGAAAATGACAGGTACACAATCAAATGGATGAAAGGAGAATAAGCCCATGATCTAATTAGATGTTCACACTGTGCAAGGCCGCATCATCACAAATGTATTGAGGGAAAAAAAAGTAGTGGCCTTGGGGTGGATTTACATTAATGAAATACTGTATGTCTAGTGAGATCTCTCTCTCTTCAACATCACATTTGCAACTTTTCTGTTTACGCTAGCCTTGGATGTGGTGTGACCAAAGCCACATACCTGCTTCTTGTGTTAGTGCTGCTTTTAGCAAAATAAGGACAGCAATTCAAACTATACAGGAGCTTCTCATCTAGACTGTGTTGTACATAGTGTTGCACAATTGATTAATGCAACGATTCACAAATGTGTGGATATTTTAAAAGCCTTTACATTTTCAATTTGGCTAACATATCAAAAATGCTGTCTACTGTTATTAAGGTAATTAACCTTTTAATGCAGTGGGCTAAATCAGGGTCATACAGAGTGTTTCTTGGTAGTCTTAAATAAATCTACGTTGAAAAAAAGTATACACCTCACACACATGTTATGGGCTTGCAAAAAAAGAAGACACCTGTACCATGTCAGATATAGAGTTGAAATGTATTACATTTTGAGTTTGCATCCCAATATTACACTTTATATACATTATAGAAGACTGAAATATAACAAAACTGTTTAACATAGAAACACCAGATTTATTAATTATTCCACCCATGAGGCCACTAGGTCATTTAACTGCAGGAAAAGGCTACGGTAATTCTTGCAGGGACATGTAGTGTGGGTTAGCCGTTGTCTTTACACTGTACTACTCAGAGGCGGTTATGTGGTGTAGATGTCTCCCACACTATGACCCTATTCCCACTAGGAGAGATGAAGGAGAGTCTGAGGAGCGGAGTGGCGAA